GCGCGCGTAGCACTATGCGTCGTGCGCCTCCCAAAACGACGTCGTTTTGGGAGGCGCGGTAGGAAGTTGCTGTGATTATGTATATTTGTTCACACAATTATGTATATTTGTTCATACAATTATGTATATTTGTTCATACAGTTATGTACATTTTTTATACAATTATGTACATTCTTTTTGTACAATTATGTACATCCGAATAAGAAAATATGTGTGTATTATGTTAAGAGTTGATGTGTATTATGTTAAAAGTTTATGTTTATTATGTATTATGTTAGATTATGTGTATTATCTTTTAAAAAGAGTATGTATATTTTGTTATATAATTATGTATATTCATGTATACAATTATGTGTATTCTAGTATAACATTATGTACATTTTTGAACAGGATTTTTTTTAAAGAAAAAATAACTGCCATATACTGGGGCGGAAAATTTCAAAAAAAAAAAAAAAAAAAAAACGACGTCGTTTTGCATCTGGGAGCACAATGCAACGCGCGCCGTGGTATATATATATATGATATAAATTGCCATCTTCTTTCATTGGATTTGCTCTCCTTCCACCACCCCCCACTACGTTTTTCTTTCGGCTATCCCTTCTTCTTCCGCCTCTAATCATGGGTTTAGGTTTTGAAGATGCAATTGACCCAAAAAATAAGCGTACAAATGTCTGTTATGGTGGATGCTCAGACTATCAATTGTCCAATTGTTATGCCGTGGAACCGTGTCCACCTTGCAAGATGGACACGGTTCTATGTTCAGCTCTATGTTTATAATTATATTTAATGTTCATAATTTTTGTACTTCATATTCACAATTAATGAACTCTATATTCACAATTATAGAACTCTTTGTTCATAATTACTGAACTCTATGTTCATAATTTTTGAACTTCATATTCACAATTATTGAACTCTATATTCACAATTACAGAACTCTATGTTTATAATTATAAAACTCTATGTTCATAACTTTTAAACTCTATATTCACAATTATGACAGTTTTTGAATCATGTTCACCTTGCAAGGTGGACACAGTTCCACAGCATAATTTGCCTCAGATTACATCTGTTGAAGTGATGGGGTCCAATATGAAAGCAAATATTGGACCCAAGAAATAAATTTGAGTACATGTCAAAAAGGAAAATCTTAATTTGAGAATGTTATGACTGGTTAGATTTGTTTGATGACAATGTGCTCTGTTTCTTGTCATCTTTTTCGATCTATACATACTAATTGATTATTATACTCCTTATTTTTAAAAATTGGAAATGTATAATTATTCATGTCTCGTTGTTGATTATATATATATATATATATATATATATATATATATATATATATATATATATATATATATATATTGTGATGGTTAAATACTTAAATGTGTTGATATTATATGTGATTGCATAATAATAATAATACATTACGGTAGTTTGATTCTTCTGAACTTTTTTATATCAAATTATTAACAGCATTTTCTTGAACCCTAATAATAGGGCGCCTAAAGTTACGTACTTTGGACGCCTATTATTTGGATGGGCTTAACAATAGGTGTCCAAAATTCTATAACTTTGGACGGCTATTATTTTGCACTTTGGACAGGTTAACAGTAGGCGTCCAAAGTTCTAAAACTTTGGACACCTATTCTTTTTAATTAAAAAAAATAAAAATAAATTATATAGTGACATTTTAATTACAAAAATACCACCGTCCTACACTTTAGGTGTCCAAAGTTCAAACTTTAGACGCATATTCTTAGATTTTTTTTTATCTTTCTTGTACTACGCCCAATTAAACTTTTATTACTTTTTTTTATTAATAAATAAATAAATTAATTAATATTAAGAAAAATTTGAGCGGAAAAGTTGAAGAGGACGATTTTACTTTTATTAATAGTATAGATAGATAGATGAATTAATATTCATATTAGTTTGGACGAGAAAGTTGAAGAAGATGATTTTACTTTTATTAATAGGTTAGATAGATTTTTCATAATGTTAATTTTAGTATTAGTATATAAAAATTATATATTTAAAAACTACATTAAAAGTACTATTTAACACATAAAAAATAAAAATAATTAAAAATACTAAAAGAAATAAGTAAAGAAGAAAGAGTTAATTTGACCAATAAATAATAAATAAGACATGAGATAGATGGAGTAAATAAATAAAATTTAGCAATAATAAAATAATATAAAGTGTTTGACTTCCAAAAGTTTTTCTTAATATTATTTCATGATGTGACTTATAATTATTGAGTGTCGTAAATTGGCTTACCACACATTTTTAATTATACACTAAAGTAACTAAAGGATATATAGTGTCACTTTAGAGGAGAATTAAAGAGAGAAATTTTAGGGCGAATGTTTAGCATGACAAATTAATGTGGGGATTGTAGTTCACACAGCTATGTAGACCACGTTCTAAAACGACGTCGTTTTGATGTTAAAAAAAATTACTTCCTCTGCGTGCGTGTTAGAATAATGATCATTCTGGGTAAAATATTGTACTTTATGTGTTAGAAAAATGTACTTTATATGTGTTAATATAATAAAATTTTTGGGGTAAGATAATGTATTTTATGAGATAGAGTAATATAATTTATGTGTTAAAATAATGTATTTTAATTTATGAGTTAAAATAATGTATATCATACTTTATGTGCTAGAATAATGAAATTTCTAGGATAAGATAATATATTTTATGGGTTGAAATAATGTATACTTTATGTGTTAAAATTATATATTTTTATGAATTAGAATAATATACTTTATATGCTTTTGGACCATGTTCTACACATCTCCACGCAATAATGATTGGTTTAGCATTACTACAAAATAAGCCCTTAATAAATTTAATAAAAATAAACTCAATCATTATTACATGGACCATGGTCCACACAATTATGTGGATCATAAATAAAAAGTATATTTTTAATACACTAATGGTACATTATTTATGTACATAAGGTACATTTTTTGAAAGTACCTTTTTAATATACTAAGGGGTACATAATGTACGTAAGGTATATAATGTACCTTCAATACAAAAATAATGTACCTACAATATAAAATAATGTATTTTTAATATATTAAAAATGTATTTGATATTCATGGTCCACACAATAATTTTCCAAATAAACTATAATTGGTCAAAAACTATTTTTAAGTTGTCATTATTAATCCAGGACTCGAGCCCAATATATTGTGATGGAACCCTGTATCTTGGATTGTTTCCTATTCCTATTTTTTAGAAAAAGTATCATATTCCTATTAGTAATAGACTAATATTATTCTATATATATTCACGAAAGAGTATCATATTCCTATTAGTAATAGACTAATATTATTCTATATATATTCATGAATGAGTAGAGTATTTTATTATTGTTTTCTTCTCCCAAATATAACACACACGTATTCTAAATCCGTGAGCGAGTATTCTATCTATTCTGCTAGACATGGAGGACGATTACACGCATGTGGGTCCTTTGTATTTCATCATTATAGTGGTAGGGGTTTGTTTGTGGTATGCATGTTTGTGTTGGTGTCCCGTCAACACGCCACCTCGAACTGCGGCGGCGCAGCCGCGCAACAGACTGGCGAGAAGGAGCACCGGCGGCAACAACATTAATGTGGAAGCACAAGTAGTCCCAGAAGTAAGGTTAAATATTAAAAGTTTCGAAGAAGGGAGCGTAAAGGGAGAGGAGAGAGAAAATGAATGTGTTATTTGTATCACCGGTTTTCAGAAAGGAGACATCTCCACCGTTCTATCATGCAAACATAAATTTCATTCAGATTGCATTGCTATTTGGTTGGTACTTCATCAAACTTGCCCCATACGTAGAGCTAGTACTGTTCAGCCTGTTTCATAATCTCTAACGATTACCTTGTTTCTTGTACTTTTTTTGTCATCTTTTTCAATACATACTGATCAAGATTCTTGATTCCTTATTTTAAAAAATTGGAAATATATTAGGGTGTCTTTGGTTTGGTTCATGGATTTACACATTAGGAATGACAAACAAAATTATAGTGTTTGGTTGACAACTTTTTAAGAAATTTGACTATCCTTCAATTAAAAATCTCATTCCTAATTAAAAAGTGTATCATTTCATCTTATTGGTAATCTAATTTTTAAATATGGATTAATACTTTTAGATTTTTGTTTTGATTTTTTTTTGTCCATATTAATGCTTTTAATGTCATTATATTTGGATCAATTACCATAATTTTTTATTTTTCAAAATAAACCCATATAGTAAATTCCAATTTCAATTCAAAAAATGTAAATAACTAAAAAATGAAAACTCAAACAAAGATCATCAACAGAAAACAACACTAAGATTGCTTGGTTTATCCTGTTGAAACATTTGCAGAATTATTTAAAAAGCAATATTATGTTTTAACCAGAAAAATAGCCAAAAGTATAATGAAAACTCTTACCAAAAAAACAATTTATCTTGAGCGGTGTTAGGTTGCTCAGTCCTCAGAAAAGAAGAGTTTGAGTAAAGTTTTATATTGAAGATGAAGAAAAGTGAGAAACATGTATGTATCCCTTATTCCTTTCCCCATATATATTATAAGGCACTTTAGCTCAGTTAATGGTGCTGGGGAAATCTCATTTTCGTAAACTTGTTGACTTCAAACCAAATTAAGGAAATTTTAAAAAAGAAAACATCACTATTTTAGTCTTCGAATTTAATTGACAAAATTTTAAATTATTTGAGAATCAAATTAATTCACGTTAAAAATTAGTGACTACATTAACAATTGAGAAACAATTGAAAGATTCAAATAATAATTTTCTCTTTTTACAAAAAAATTAAGTAATCTTAATTTTGCTAAACTAGAGCTACTCCACGGAAGGGAAATCAAATCAATTTCAATTCAATATACAAAATGAAAAAAAAAATTATATAGAATTTTTTTTTACAGTAAATCAGAAATCATTATCAGCCATTTCTCATATTCCTATTCTTTCATTGGATTTGCTCTCCTTCCACCGCCCCCCACAACGTTCTTCTTCCGCCTCTAATTTTGGGTTTAGGTTTTGAAGATGCAATTGACCCAAAACAATAAGCATAGAAATGTCTGTTATGGTGGAAGCTGAGACTACCAATTGTCCCAAGTTTGAAGTTGAGAGTTTGGTTCCAGCAGATAGATAGTAGGGCAGTCAAGTCTCTGTCGGTGTTAGAGTCGAATTCCTTCTCCTCTGTCACACCATTTCCCGAATCCCCAGTGAGGGATTGCAACATTTTTTCATTCCCAACTCCATTTCTGCTTCCTTTCTGGTACCATATCAACACTCTTCAATTCTTCAGTGGAGGTCGTCGGCGATTTGTGTTCTGAAAGCTTCTCCGAGAGTGAAATATGTAACGGTCATAATTTCTCTCTCTTTTCTCTTATTATTATTTTTTATTTTATTTTATTTCCTATTCCTATTCCTATTATTAGTTTCCTAATCCTATTACTAATATTATTCTATATATATTCAGAAGTGAGTAGAGTCTTTTGTTGGTCCTTTGTATTTCGTGATTGCAGTTGTAGGAGTTTGTTTGTGGTGTTCCTTTGTAAGGTGGTGTTCCGTCAGCACGCCACCTCCAACTGCGGCGGTGGGAGGGAGCACAAGCGGCAACAACAACAACAACGTTAATGTGGAAGCAGCACAAGTAGTCCCAGTCCAAGAAGTAAGGTTAAATGTGTTGGAAAAATAGCATTAAAATGATATTTTGAGTGATTATTTTGTGGTACAAATATATGTGGGATCCACTTCCGATTTGGGTCGGGTCAAGGTGGATTCGGGTTCTTCGTAGTGAGACGAAGAATTTGATATAATGTACGCTCAAAATGGGTAATAGGTGAATGAGAAATTGATTCTCAAAGTGAACCTATTTGAGAGAAGTCAAAATTTAAGATTAATGCTAATCAAGAATTAGCATTAGATTCGTGCTACTTATGTTTCGTTGTAGCACTTTCGTGTTGTGCCAATCAGGCATGCTAGTATTTAAATTATTAAAACACTATGCATGTGCTGGCAGCACATCACGTGCAACTTAAATTTGATAAGCTTTGAAAGCTTAATTATGGAAATTGGGGTGATGCATTATGCATGTGGACGAAAGTTATGCAATTAAAACATTGAAAGCTTAATTAGTGAATTAAGCTTTTGAGCTCCTTTCGTGTGAGCTACTTTCGTGCTGCACGAGTCAATGCTATGTGCATTGATTCGTGCCACACCGTTTCGGTACTTTGCGGACCATTCGGGTGTGGTTTTCGGTCCCAATTCGTTAACCTTTTGGGTTTGTACGGACTTCTCGGTCACTCAGATATTTGAAACGGGTCGTTATGGTCGGTACGAATTAATCGGATATTAAGTTCGTGACCGTTGATATTATTTCGATAATAAGTACGACCGTTTCAAACGTTATAATTCAATTTTTAAATTGAATTTATGTTGGTTAATGTGTCATGATGATGCTATTTAGTACCAATCTCCTATATAAAGATGTGGTGGGAGCAACCTTTTTGAAAACAATGTTAGAAAGGAAGTGAACGTGAGGGAAGAACAAGAGAGACACAACACACAAAGATAAGCACATTTTCTTCTCAAAACTCTACTCCTACTTCTTTCTAGCTACTGTGTTTTGTCCGTGCTCTAGTTCGCCGGGTTCGTTCGTTTGGGTGCTCAAACGTCGAACCGTTGTACGTTTTATCCTGGGAAACCTAGGCCACAACGCTCCTAGCACTTTTGGGAGGTGGCAAATAAAGTTTTAAGGAAAGACAGGCACTTTGCCTAACTCGTACATTTCTTTCTTTCTTCTTCTTTCTTGTTTTGGATTATGCTCTAAGCAAAAATCCGTTCTTTCTTGTTGTTTTGGAATTATAATCTAAGGATTATATTTTTTTTTGGTTGATATATATTGGTATATCTTTTTCGTAGATATACATGTATATATAACCGTTAGGTCCGTTTTATATATATTTGTGTGTGTATATATATTTCGGATATATATCCAATAATATTTTATATATATTTCGTGTGTATATATATAAATATTATTTTACAGATATTAAATCGATTGTGGTTCATTATCTCCAACAATCTTAAAACCTTATATATTTTTGATAATGAACAAGTCGATGGATTCCAAAAGTGTTGGATCCGTGAATGTTGCTCGTGGTGCACATTCAAATGGTCGGAACGGCAACGATGTTGCACATTCCGTGATGCCAGTTGATGGCAGCAACGTTGGAAATAATATTTCCATGAGAGTTGCAAAAACACACGATGGTGCTCCGGGAACTTTGGTTCACGATCCGGTAGACCTGTGGCTAATGGCACACAATTGGTACCTATTGTGTTGTCTAGTGGATCGGCTAAAAGCCACGAAGGATCCTATGATGGTGTAATAACTACATGGTCTGAGGACTATTGTAGTGTGACCAATGACTTCAACCGTAATCAAAGGAAACTTAAACGGAAACTTAGCTTTCAAGAAGATTACGAGAAGAAGGAAAAATGCCACTATGAAGCGAACCGTCATCCTGGTGAGAAGGTTGAGGACAACTTCGCTATGTTTAAAACATGTGGATGGTTGGACGAGTGAGGTCACAACCATAGGTACCCCGATGTGCCCTATGGACCACCCTTTGTGGAGTGGACGGTTGAGAATGGAACAAGGCACACGGGTTTGAAGGATCACTACGAGATAGGAATAAGGAAATATGTTTCCAATGTATTTTCCTATTTATTTATTTTGAATAAATGTTGTAGTATCCTTGGAATATTTTTATTTGAATAAAAAATATAATTGTTCCATTGAGTTGAATCTTGGTACATACGAATTATTAACTAGAATAATGTCAAATGTATAAAATGATTCAATATAGGTGCGTAGTGCATCACGGGGCATTATGTGGAAAATGCTAAAATGGCTTAACGGCCAAAATGAAATGTAACAAGCGTGTTACATGTTGAAATCCCGTAACGAACTTCGGTTCTAGTTCATGTAGAACGATACGGATTTCAAGGATCAATTTGTCAAAAATTGGGATAACTATATAATCGTGAGCGTCACAGCTCAAGTGTTGAATATTTTATATAATATTCTAAGAACGATTATATGAGTTTGATTCAACTAGTTGGAAAATTTGGTTGATTTGTTCTCGTTAATTGTGTTATAACTAACTTGATCAAAAATTCCAAATTATACTAGTATATTTAATTTGAGACAAATTGTGTTTTGGTGAATAGTGCTTTTGTAGCACTAGTGAAAAGTGCAATTTAATTTGGCACTTTGAAGTGCAAATTAGAACACTGCTATAGTGCTATTAAGCACTAGGTAGAGTGCCTAATTAGGTACTTTCGGCCACTTGGTGGCTGCACCTTTAGGTGTTGAAAACTTAAGCATTTGGTGCTTTGGTAATAGCAATAAAGGTGCTAGATTATGATTGGTCTTAATGCTAATCTACTTAGCTTAAACCTTTCGTATGTGGCTAATTAAATTTAGCGTTGTAAAAGTGTTATGTGATTAGCACGAAAGGAGGTTTTGGTTAATTGTGAAATTAACTAATAATCCTAGTGCCAAGTAGCACTGGAATTATAAGTCAAGCAACCAATGGTTGTTGTGAGTTTATAATTTAAAGCAATAAAGATTGCTTTGGAATCGATGCGTTAGTTTATAAGCAATGATTCGTGCTTGGTATAGCATGTTTCGTGCTTCACTACTAAGCACTGATTCGTGCTTCAATTTCGGAAGCACTGATTCGGGTTTGTGGCCTTTCGGTCAAAACCGAATGGATTCGTGAGGGTTAATCTGTTAGCACCTACGAGATGTGTTAGCGTGTAACACATGTTTATTCTTTAAAGAATAAAAAAGAGAAAAACCAAATTAATCGTGGATTAATGCGGTTACGAACAATCGATGTGGTGAAAAAAAAAAAAGAAACACCTATTGGTGATTTCAGCGCAAGCGTTAGTGTCGTACTCGAGCATCGAACGTTGTTGGCGAACATAAATATCAAGACGTTGATATGTTCGGGTCTTCCTCAAAGTATGTGAGGTGAGACAATACTTTGGACAAGTGAGTACCTTTTAAATAAGGTTACCCGCATGAAATTCTTACGAATTGTGGGTACGTAGGAAGTTTCCTACTAATGCCTGAAATGTGGGGGTGTCTTGCCAAAGTTGCGTATTGGTTCTTAGTACACGAGTCCAAGAGTTTGGATGTACATAAGAACACGAAAGATTGATTCAAGAAATTCATCGTTCTTGGAAGATGTATTTTTGTGAAGGATCAATAAAGGACCTAGCACGTTGAAAGGAACTTTCGGCGTAGCTATGATTGAAGGGTATGAAAGAGAACCCGAGCTCAAAGCTAGACGTAGCAAGAGAGCTAGGATTGGAAAATCCTTGGTCTAGATTTTTTGACGTACATGCTAGAATGTGACGCACATATCTAACTTGTTTACTAGAAAATAAATTGGACTTTCTGACAAGTTTGTTAGAAAACGAGCCTCGAACGTATGTAGAAGTGTTAACTTCTACAGATGGACCAACCCGAGAGAGGCTACCGAGAGTGAAGTAGATTCTATCTTAAAGAATCATACTTAGAACTGGTTGTTCTTCCTCCAGGTTGTAAAACCTCGGGATCCAAAGTGGATCACTAGTCGGAAGATAAAACCGGTTGATTATATTGAAGTGAAATGGTCATGCCTGTAATTGTAGATTACATGCAACGCGAGTGCCACGGTTACTTCGATATAAATATTCTCTTGTGATGAGAATAAAATCCATTAGTATGATACTTGCCAAAGAGCTGTTTAGCGAGACTTGGAAGTTTATCGAAATGGATGTATCGCTTTCTTAATAGACATGGAACAACCCGAGGGTTTTGTGGTTCCACGCTAGGGAAAGAAAATGTGTAATTGGTGAGATCATTGTATGGTTTGAAACAATTGCCTTAGTATTTGGCATGTAGGTTTTGATCATACAATGATGTGTCACGAGTTTAGTATAAACAAATGTGATAAATGTCTACGTAATGCGTACGATAGACGGTGAAATCACTGTTTGTTTATATACGATAAACTCAACGTGGGTAGTAACGATCAAATGATCAATTCTACCAGGAACATGTTAAGCTCGAGATTTGACATGAGAGGTGTGAGTTTGGCAGATTTAATCTTCGAGATTAAAATTGTGAGAAGACCGTATGGTCTCGTGTTAAGCCAATCTCGTTAAGTTTGATTAAATCCTTGTAAAGGATGATAATCAAGTGGCTTGGACACCGTTAGATACTAACGTACAACTAGCCAATACGAGTATTGTACTTCTCATGGAGAATACATTCAGATTATTGGTAGTTTAATTGTATCAAATGGGTTGTACTAGGCCGGATATTGCCTTAGTGGTTAACGAACTCGGTGACATACGAGTAACCCTAGTGTTATGCACTAGAAGGCAATAGTGAAAGTTATGAGATACTCAAGGTATGCTCGTGACATTGGACTGCACTAAGTGAGATATCAAGCTGTACTTGGAAAATATAGCATGGATATCAAAGGATACTAAGTCCATTAAAGGCTACGTCCTTACGTAGGCCAGTGCAGTCAGTTGGACGGAAATTCTCGAAATGAATTTGTGATAGCTAAGATCCGACGGGATCAAAGCTGAGAGCCTTACACTCGTGTCGCGAGCGAGTAGGCTGAATGGCTATGCCATTATTTCGAGAATGTTCCTAGTGGTGAACTCGTACCTCCAATTTGTGTGCATTGCGATAGTCAAGCCAAAATTGGTTAAGTACAGAGTTAAATGTGGAATGGTAAGTCTAGACTTATAAGTCGTAGATATAATACCATTAAACAATTTCTCACAACGGGAGTTATCTCTATTGACTACGTGATGTCAAAAGATAACGTAGCGGCCGCTAACTCGCTAACCCGAGGGTAAGCAAATGGTTGTGGAGAAATTGGAACGAGGAATGGGTCTAAAGCCCTTAGACTAAAAGTTCTATAGTGGACACCCAACCTAGCTGGTACCTAGGTTCAATGAGACAACTAAATTATGGAACGGAGCGTGTCACTGTGGGGGTCTCGGACTCCTTACCACTCCTCGTTAGAACAGTGACTCCCGCGCAAGGTTAGCATGTTGATGCTTTAATGATTCGAATGTCGGTTGACATGTGTGAGTATGCAGGATACTCGGAAAAGAATCACTTATGTGAGAGAGAAGTGATGGTCGCTTCAAAGGAGAATTGATGGGCGCAATTCTTCACAAACTCTTGCAGAACCAGGACGGTGACCCACGACCAAAATGGGCACACTAATGAGAACAGAGCATGGTTGGGAGGTTCCTGTGTGAGATATGTCATCGTCTACACAAACGGCAGTCGGTTCAAAGACATCGCGTTCTACCGTACAGCCAGTAGAGTAAACATATCTTCACAAGGGAAGGTTCAAAGGGTATAGTGATCCCTACCTATCCTATGCAGGGATCGACCGTTAAACACAGTTGTTTCCGATTTCAAAATACCCTGAAAATCATTTTTCATTCATGTGGGGGATTGTTGGAAAAATAGCATTAAAATGATATTTTGAGTGATTATTTTGTGGTACAAATATATGTGGGATCCACTTCCGATTTGGGTCGGGTCAAGGTGGATTCGGGTTCTTCGTAGTGAGACGAAGAATTTGATATAATGTACGCTCAAAATGGGTAATAGGTGAATGAGAAATTGATTCTCAAAGTGAACCTATTTGAGAGAAGTCAAAATTTAAGATTAATGCTAATCAAGAATTAGCATTAGATTCGTGCTACTTATGTTTCGTTGTAGCACTTTCGTGTTGTGCCAATCAGGCATGCTAGTATTTAAATTATTAAAACACTATGCATGTGCTGGCAGCACATCACGTGCAACTTAAATTTGATAAGCTTTGAAAGCTTAATTATGGAAATTGGGGTGATGCATTATGCATGTGGACGAAAGTTATGCAATTAAAACATTGAAAGCTTAATTAGTGAATTAAGCTTTTGAGCTCCTTTCGTGTGAGCTACTTTCGTGCTGCACGAGTCAATGCTATGTGCATTGATTCGTGCCACACCGTTTCGGTACTTTGCGGACCATTCGGGTGTGGTTTTCGGTCCCAATTCGTTAACCTTTTGGGTTTGTACGGACTTCTCGGTCACTCAGATATTTGAAACGGGTCGTTATGGTCGGTACGAATTAATCGGATATTAAGTTCGTGACCGTTGATATTATTTCGATAATAAGTACGACCGTTTCAAACGTTATAATTCAATTTTTAAATTGAATTTATGTTGGTTAATGTGTCATGATGATGCTATTTAGTACCAATCTCCTATATAAAGATGTGGTGGGAGCAACCTTTTTGAAAACAATGTTAGAAAGGAAGTGAACGTGAGGGAAGAACAAGAGAGACACAACACACAAAGATAAGCACATTTTCTTCTCAAAACTCTACTCCTACTTCTTTCTAGCTACTGTGTTTTGCCCGTGCTCTAGTTCGCCGGGTTCGTTTGTTTGGGTGCTCAAACGTCGAACCGTTGTACGTTTTATCCTGGGAAACCTAGGCCACAACGCTCCTAGCACTTCTGGGAAGTGGCAAATAAGGTTTTAAGGAAAGACAGGCACTTTGCCTAACTCGTACATTTCTTTCTTTCTTCTTCTTTCTTGTTTTGGATTATGCTCTAAGCAAAAATCCGTTCTTTCTTGTTGTTTTGGAATTATAATCTAAGGATTATATTTTTTTTTGGTTGATATATATTGGTATATCTTTTTCGTAGATATACATGTATATATAACCGTTAGGTCCGTTTTATATATATTTGTGTGTATATATATATTTCGGATATATATCCAATAATATTTTATATATATTTCGTGTGTATATATATAAATATTATTTTACGGATATTAAATCGATTGTGGTTCATTATCTCCAACAAAATGATAAAAGCTTCGAGGAAGGGAGCGTAAAGGGAGAGGAGAGAGAGAAGGAATGCGTTATTTGTATCACTGGTTTCCAGAAAGGTGAAATCTCCACTGTTCTCTGCCCATGCAACCATAAATTTCATTCGGATTGCATTGCTATTTGGTTGGCACTTCATCAGACTTGCCCCTTATGTAGAGCTAGTACTCTTCACCCTGTTTCATCATCTCTCGTCTAGATCACCCTGTTTCTTCTACTTTTTTGTCATCTTGATTCTTGATCAAGATTCTTGATTTGTTTAATTTTTTTTTTTTCTGATTCTTGATCAAGATTCTTGATTCTTTTATTTTTATTTTTTTTTTCTGATTCTTGATTCCTTTTTTTTTTAAAAAAAAATTGGAAATTAATGTAGAATTTTTCGTGTCTCATTATTGATTATGTTGTGATGGTTAAATGTGTTGAATAGTGTATGTGATTGCAAAATACATTATGCTTAAATAGACTTAGCAATTATGGACACGATCTCTTAACACAACACAAAATCGGACACAAAAATAACATATCAGATTCGGATTAGTATTTAGTCTTATTCCTGTCTCATTGTTGATTATGTTGTGATGGTTAAATGTGTTGATACATTGATCTCTTATATGTTATATGCCAATTTATAAATCTATGTACTGTAAATAGCAGACACAAACTCCTTAATGTTCGGCTTGAGACCAGCGGCGAAGACTTCAACAGTAGGAAAGATTATGGATGTCCAGCATACAGGAAAATGGCTGGTCCTGGCGGGCGCACTGGACCGGGATTCCGGCTCTCGGCCTTAGGTCTAAGTTGAACCGGATCGTCTCCTCCCGGGTTCGGTGCTCGCCGCCTCTGGTTCGCATTCACAGCTCTATCTGCATTCTCGGTTGGCCGGAGGTTGTGAAATAGTTTTCGTGGCAGGACGCTGAAACGGTTGATGTTTCGGCTCCGGTGCTGCTTGGACGACCACGGCCTCGGATATTATCCAGTATGTTCTAATTTGAAGCACTTTTGTCTGTGTGTAGTCTATAAGTGACCGATCCAATAGGTTAGTTTAAGAACAATAATACCTATGCATTTATGTTTGTGCTTGATATTGATTTATAGAAATTGAAGAACAACTATGTCAAGCTTTATGTTCATTAACTGCACCTTAATTGCATAAAAATTACAAGTATAGAGAATTTAGATATTTGTGTAATGGTTTTCTTTTAACTGAAAAGGTAAGATACTATACCTTTCCAGTTTCCACCCACAACCCATATGGAAAAAGAGAAACATAACACTTTAAGCAATCAAATCAAATGTTGGGCAGAAGTGTAAATCCGATCCAGTGATATTTCAACAATTTTTTTGGGTTAATAGTGTAAGGTGGTGTTAAAGTGGATAACAACATTGAATGATCCAAGGATTTAGTTAAAGATTTGATATTGCTTTGTCTATGTGATTATTAGATTATGCACTTCACTTTGGAGTGAAGTAGCATTGATTATTACTTGTGTCATTTTAGTGTGGAGATTTAAAGATTTGATATTGCTTGGTTGTCTTTTTACTAACAAGGTATCAATCCATTTTGGCTGGTTGTTTATAATAGTCATTGTCCATGTAAAGGCAGTATGCATAAATTTCTTCTTGTTTGTATGCAATGAGGTATGGAGGTTTGCGTTCCTTTCTAACACAACCAACATATGTGCTTTCTGCATACCTCTTTCAACTTTCATTCTAACTACATTGAGACATATAGTTCATCACTATCAGCCTCAATGTTGAGACATCTATTTGCAAATAATTTCATGTTCACTCCCTTAAAATCCTTTTTGATTGTGAAATGAAAATACAAGTGCTTTTATAACTTTATGGTTCTTAATTTCATAATGTACCCTGAAACTCCATTTCCCAAAGATGGTAAATTATATTCTCTCTGGATTAATGGCATGCTCATTTATTGAAGTTACTCGTCTGTTGTAATTGCAGTTTTTTCACCCTCTTCTAAGCATCTGCTACTTGCCTATGGCCGGCGTCATAGCTCTCTTCTTACACATGAATTCTTGAGGTAAGATGTGTTAAATTTTATCCCTTTTTTTTGTATAGGTGCCATTAAAATTTATTCCTTTTTCATCTCCTCCCGTAGTACTATATCACTCATGCTGGGATGTAATTATGATGTGCGCGTTAGTGTTACTCAAATGTTGCAAAACCACATTTTTATTAAAATATTCAGTTTGGAAGGGATTGCATACCAAAACATTCATTGAGACGACACTTGTCTTATTTTCTAATATTAGGCACTAGTTCAGTAGTCTTTACTAGTTCTAATCAAGATTCTTGATTCCTTATTTTTAAAAATTGGAAATGTATAATTATTCATGTCTCATTGTTGATTATGTTGTGACGATTAAATGTGTTGTCGGTGTTGATAGTATATGTGATTGCATAATATATTATGGTTAAATAGACCCGGCAATTATGGACACTACACGTTAACACAATACGAAACCGGACACGAAAATAAAAGATTAGTATTTAGCCTTAACATGTCCCGGGTCGTTAACGGGTTAACACGGGCCTGTTTTATTTAGTATTTTAACTTGTTAACTCATTTAATCCGTTAATATTATCGTGTTAACTCGTTTATACAAGCCTGTTTATAATCCGCTAAACCATTGTCAATGAATGAGATTACAAAACATATCATCATGAACATGACTAAGGATGATTTTTTTTATATATATAACTTAACTTTTTTTTTTTAATATATTAATAGGTTTAACGGGTTTCGTGTCATATCGTGTCGACACGACCCAAACCTAACATGTTAACAAAATGTGTCTATCGTGTCAACCTATTTAACCCGTTAACAAGTCGTGTTTGTGTTTGTATTAAAATTTTGATTCTGTACCTAGAGTAAAATAAAAATTTGTGTTGAAACATGAGAAACAGAAAACTACAGAATCTGTTAAGCTTAAATACCAAAACAACGTTGTTTTGATCCATGGTCCACAATACTATATGGACCCTAGTCCATAAATTGCCCAAAGTAAGGCCTTATTAAATTTAATAAGCAAATTATTCTGTGGACCTTGGTCCACCTTGCAAACTGGACAATACACAATTTACATATTGAATGTTTACAATTTTATAAAAGATAAATTGTGAACATTCAGTATTTAATTGTGTATTATAGATCCGGATCCATCTTGCAAGATGGACAATAGTCAAAGCTATAACAACTCAATTTAATAAAAATAAACTATAATGGGCCAAACAATATTTTTAAGCTATCATTTTGGGTTCCTTGTCGTCTGAGGAATTTCGCTGATACTTGGATGTGGCGGTTTCCGGCCGTCCCTGTAAAGGAAGAAGAAGAGGCTCAATTTTTTTTTTTTTTTTAATTTCACCTGAAATGACTAAATTACCCCCGAATTAAACAAATACGAATGGATTAAAAGATTCCGGCAACATTTGGCCAGTGATTTGGCTGGGATGACCAAATGTGTTAAAAATTGCATAGTTACGGGACTAAAGTGTTAGTTTCTAAAATAAAGTACTGAAATTAACAACACATCAATAGTCATAGGACCAAAAGTTTAATTTTCTCATTTTTTATTTATTTATTGCTTTAGGGGCATTTTAGATAGTTTTTCACGTAGTTTCCTTGCAAGTGGTTTCCTTTTAGATTATGTTTGCGTGATTTTAGGAAATTATAACCATGCATTTAGAGATTTTTTAGGTCGTTTTCCTTCGTTCTTCTTTTGGTTTTTGGGGGTGCCGGTAGTGACTATTCAACATAGCTTCACTTTTTGTTTTTGTTTTTTTTTTTTTTGTTTTTTTTGTTTTTTTGGTTCGTTATAATATGCTTTTAATTAGGTTTGTTGATAAATCTTTGATTTTAGGATGAGAGTACATTGTAGGCTGTTGAGTTGTGCATTGGGGCGCTAGGTGTGGTGCATCGTTGGACACCTTTGTGCACTCACAGAGTAAATGTTGTGCATTGCTAGTAGTAAAGTTGTGCATTTTGTGTTAGTATAGCGGTGATCAATTTTATGGGGTTTAGAGGTCAGGGTTTAGGGTTTATGGTGTGCAGTTACAAAATGCTATACACCTTTGTGCACTCCTAACTAAAGTTGTGCATTACTAGTAATAAAGGTATGCATTTTTATAGAACTAGTTGTGCATTACATTGTTGGTGGTTGTGCATTCTTAAGGGCAGGGATTTGTGCTCTGTGGGGCGTAGGTTTGTGTATTTATAGAGTAGGGTTTACTGTTATTGGTTTAGAGTTTCGAGTTTATGCTTTAGTGGTTTGGGGTTACTGTTTAAGGTGATTGGGGTTAGGGGTTAGGGGTTAGTGTTCAGTAATTAGGGGTTAGCGATCAGACTGAAGCAATATGATTCCCCCACACTCGGAGGTCCTCACATACTCGGTATCGCCATTGATGAATGAAAATTTGGGAGCTAGGTTGAACGAGATGAAGATGAGCTGAGTGAAAGAGATGGTGCAATCCACAACAGAATAGATGAAAATTGGAAAGGAAAAAAAAAAACAAAACAAAAAAACAAAAACAAAAAAAAAAAAAAAAAAGACAAAAAAAAAAACAAAACAAAGTTAGCGCAGAAAACCGAGAAAAAATTGAAGAAACGAAAATGTCTTTGCCTAAATTAGGGGTTCACCTGAAAACGTCATCAGAAGCACCAAAAGTGTACAAAATATGATAGTATGGTTGTTAAATGAAAAAACGATTGTTTGGGACAAAATTTGAAATTGTTACAAAAGACAAGGGACCTCCGCTGGAATAACTCATTGAGAAAATAATTAAAAAAAAATTAAAGAGATAAAAATACCCTTGTCTAAAATAGGATTTCACCAGGAAAGTCATTAAAAAGACCAGAAGTATCCAAAATATGATAGTTTAGAGGTTAAATTACAAAAACAACTAAATTTGAAATTACCACAAAAAAACAAATACCTACGCTAGAATTACCACATATATTAATTGTTTACTTAAGATGAGAATTTCATCCTTAGTTTTCAAATTATATCCGTAAAGGTACAAGTGGTTAATTTTTCATCATATACTTTATGAGTTTGTTCAACTTGTTGGAGTGTAAACTTCCTAGAGTCTTTGTAGCATTTTCTTTATCAATATCACAAGAAAATAATGAAAAGCTTAGATAGTTAGATATTGAATTGCATAATTTATTCTCTTTCATATCTACCTATGGATGAATTTGAAAATAGAGCCCCAAAATTTCCAAATTTTCTACATTTTCGTTAATCTTAAAGACATAATTAATATCACCAAATTTTTATTAGAACGAGCGTAACATTATCTTAGATGTTAATTTGCATCAAAATACTTCATTTTGTTGATGATCATCAATATATTTGAGAAAAGATATTGAGTATTAAAAATAAATAAATTTACAGCATTTTATACACTTTATATTTAATTTAATTTACTTTTATAAATTCATGTAGATTCTTTATTAACTCATGGTAGGATTGGTCCATTCATGAATAGTTATAAAAATAAAATAAAAAAAGTTTAAGTCTTGTAGGTGTGAGATCATCTCACATAAGATGTATAATATTTTTCTTTAGTTAAAATGTAATACTTTTAATTTTTTATCTTCATAAATTGCCTCCCGTAAACTGCAAAAAAAAAAAAAAAAAAAAAAAAAACTCTGCCTCTCTACCCTCCCAAACCTTGCATCTTGCTGTTCCTTCGTAGTGTGGCCGCCGGCCACTGATCGACTCTGTCCTTGGCCGGCAGTCTCATACTTCCGTAGTTCCTTTGTATTTTGTTTTTTAGTTTCACAACTTCCAGCACCAGATCTAATCAAGAAGCCCCTCACCATTGTCAACGCTTATTTTTCAACAAAAAGGGAAAAGAAGGCTTTGTGTCAGTGTTCTTTTATTGAATCTAGGTAATGAAGGCTTTGAGTTCTGAAAAAGGACAAGAAGTTTTGTGCTTTGATCAAGGACAAGAAGGCATGATGTTTTCTTGACAGGAAAAGCCGTGGTGTTCTGTTTTTTTATCTACATATCTGTGTTTTTCACTTTTTCCATTAGTTATTTTGATAAGTTATTTCCTCTCACTTCTTTGGCGAGTTATTCCCTCTCGTTTCTTTGGCGAGTTCTTTTTTCATTAAGGTGAAACGATTTAATTGATCATGGCGTATGTTTTTCTCATCCTGAGCAACGAAGAAGTTTCAGGTTCCTCCAATGAATTCAGCTTCAATCTTGAAACACAGTTTGTGCTTCAAGTTTCTTTTAGCATTGCTAGGAAAGTTGTTTCTATGTCTTTTAACATCTAAGATATACACATATTATATCTTATAAGATAATGTTACGCTCTTATAATTTGCATCTAAGATATGTTGATGTTTTATCATTCTATTGATCTTTATTGTAACTGATTCAACTTATGATTAATGAATTAGCTCTTTATTTTCAAAAAAAAAAAATGTAATACTTTTATATACACATATTATACAAAATATTATATTTTAACTAAAAAGTATTTTATGTCTCACGGTAAAACAATCTCACACAAATTTTATTCAAAATAAAAACTTCTTTTTTTTTTTTTCAAATTAATGTCTCGTGAAGTAGTGAATTTTAATTAGGGATAGATGGCAACAATTTTGTTAATTCTATAATGCAACTTTTTTTTTTTAGTACTACTGACTCTATTATAATGTAGTATCTGTTCATAGTTACTTTCTCAGCACAAAGAGTCAATACTGCCCCTACTAGGACTTAAACTCATGACCTCTCATTTGAGAGAGTACTTCATGCCATTGTTATAATGTAGTATCTGTTCATAATTACTTTCTCAGCACAAAGAGTCAATACCGCCCCTACTAGGACTTAAACTCATGACTTCTCATTTGAGAGAGCCATTTCATGCCACTGTTTGTTCATAGTTACTTTCTCAGCACAAACAGTCAATACTGCCCCTACTAGGAATTAAATTCATGACTTCTCATTTGAGAGAGTCACTTCATGTCACTAAAGTATAAGTTCATTCGCCTATAATGCAACTTCTAGAGAAGCGAAATGGCACGGGTGAGGGTGATGGAACGCAATCGTTATGCTGTGCAACCGTGTGCACCATGCATGGTGCACACGGTTGCAAAACGACGCCGTTTCATTAAAAAAAAAAAA